CTTCATGAATCATTTCCATTACGAGTATGAAGATACATTCAAGAAATATAAGTTTACTGTTGATATAAATAGGAAACATGTGGAATTTAAACCAACTGCTAAAATAATATTCTATTGAAATTTTTTAAAAAATGCCAATATGAGTTTTAATATACTACCTTCAAAAAGTAAGAGGCCATATTAAATTATGCAAAGCATAGGGAAAATGCTAATAAATTGGGATTTTGGAAAAGTTATAAAATTAATCTAGTCTTCAATCTAACTAAGTTTTTTTGATCTAAAAATTCAAGTGAACTACAAAATCATAGATTTGTGTGGTCCAATACATTCACTATGCCATTTGATTAAGACACCCTACATCACCATGCATGCGTAACAACATTCTTGTTAAGTCTTTTTTTATATTAAAGAGGTTAATTTTGGCTTCATATTCAACTATAAAATACCATGACCAAAAAAGGACTTCTACAATTACATCCAACTCCAAAGTTGTCAATGAGAGTCCCGTCTCAAAACTATAAATTTCCAGGGCAACATAAACCATGGCATCCACCAATTCTCAATCTATCAGCCAACACTTTCAAAATTTTGACTCATTGGGTCAATTTCGGCCACCAATACCAAAAAAGCAAAAATAAGTAAAATAAATTCTCATATAGGATCAAATATTCGTGCATATTCCAGGCAATACAAGATTTATTTCCCATTCTGATTTGAACATTTGAATTTAGGAAAGATTACTGGATATTGAGTGTAGCTAATGATTTATTAATGCAACAAAGGTGGAAAATACAAACTTTGCCATGAAAAACTGTGAATTATGTCCCTAATAATCTAATTGGATTTTGACTGTTTAGGCAAACATAAAGCTATTCAAGATTTCAAATGAAATGAAATCTATAATTATATCAAGGAGTTCTTTAAAATCTAACGGGTAAAATTAATTTTATTTAACTTAATAACAAGGTCATGAGAAACATTTTATGTGATTTCATTTCATGATTATTTGACAAATTTTATGCTGGTTGTCAACTATCAGACACAAATCTCCATTTTTCTCGTCGAGGGTTTGGGACCCAACAAGCGAAAAGCCAAAAACAAATGAGGCTCTTAAATAAACCTAAATATGTTAAGCAATAATTTCTTATATAGGAATAGTTTGAAAATTTTTCATTTTAATATTACAATCATGAAATAGCTTTCAAAACAAACAAAAATTATATATTAATTGAACATAAGTGAAAGCATCCTATGGAACCAAAATAAAATTTCCGACATAGAATGCCATCTCTAGATGGTAAATAAATATAGGATAATTTGCGGACCAATCGCAAAAAAAAAAAATCATAGAAGTGCAATGTGACTGGCTAATTAGCTGCCAATGGACTAAATTCTAATTTTGGCACTTCTATATAAAAAGTGAAAGCATCTTTATCGAGCAAACAAAAATTTCCAACATAAATACCTTCCCTAGATTAATATGAGTGAGCTTACTAACCATTCGCTCAAAAAACAACCTCACTTCGTAAAATGTGGCAGGCTAACTATCTAACAATGGATTAAAAACATACTTTAGTACTTTTATTTCAGGACTTTATGCAGATGTAAGTGAAAGCATCTTTTTATGAAACCAAAATAAAATTTCCATTATATAATGCCATCACAAGATTAATATAGGTGAGCTTACTGACCAATCGCACAAAAAGCAACCTTAAAAGGTGCAATGCGACTGGCTAATTAGCCACCATTGGATTTAACTTAGATGCACACAAGAAAAAAAAACCATTGAAAGGTGCAATGCGACTGGCCATCAGTTTAGTTAGTTAAGCAACTTTAAGGAATAAGAAATCCATGTCCACCAACAGTTGCTACAAGTTATTAAAAATGAGCCAACTACCAAAGAAGCCAAAAGCTCCTCTACTACTAGATAGCAAGCCGATAGCCACCATCCTTAGTTATGTAAGTTTTAAAAAAAGTTTTTTCCTTCCAGTCCATAAAAATTTGGTCACGAACAAAAAGTAAATCCTTTCACAAGAACAATCCTTATATCTCAATAATACCAATAATGAGATATTAACACTCTGGTTGTTTCGTCTAATTTCATAACTAACACTTAAATAAACAAGTTAATAAAGTTAATGTGAATAGCAGCATCTGGGCAGAGGATGCCATGAAACCGTTGCTGTCGGTTAGCTCACTGACCAACCACACAAAAAAGCAAACTTGAAGGCGGCTATGTGACTGGCTAATTAATCACTAGATCTCAGTATCACCAACCATCTTACAAGTTCTTATGCAGTGAAAAAATCAGTCAGCATACTAAAAACGCTAGCTTTTCATTATAATATATTCCTTTCATTTAATCAAGAATTTTGCAGAATATATGCTATAAAATATCAATTTCAAAGTGAGCCTAGATTTTTGGAGATCAACAAGAGTTGGCTGAAATGAATTATAAGGGATTAAGCGATGCAATCAAGGTGCTCTATCCCTTCAGTTTCTGTTCATTGGTTGCTGGGTGGTCTCTTCGTAGGCCTTTTTTCCTTAGTTTTTCCCCTTGGCAGTTGTCCCTTCGGTTTTTGTGCTCATTGGTTGTTGTATTGATGTTTCATTTTCCCCTAGGCTATTGTCCCTTCGGTCCATGTTTGCTGCAGCTTTTGAGGAGTTTCTAGTGGTTGTTTGGGTGGTGCTTTAATTACCTTGCATTAAATTTTTTTTTTTTTCCTTTTTTTCCCTATAAATGATGATTTTTTGAATGTAAACCTACAAATTTGTTCTAGCTTGCGAGCTAGCCTCATTTCCCCTTCTCCTCTACTATTTTGTCTCTGTCTTCTACCTCTTCTTCTCTATACACAATTTTCACCCCATTTGTATCTTTCTTCTCTTAATTAATATAAGTTGTAAGGTGTTGTGTTCTAGTATTATGATATTATATATGTGTTTGTCTATGTTATGTTAAGGAAGACTCTTAATTTGTAATTTTAAATTGTGTGTGTGAGTTTTTTTTTTTTGAACCAATTTGGTATCAGAGTTTTAGGTTGTAGGTCATGTCTTCCTTTTTAAAAAAAATAAAAAAATGGAAAGCCAAACAACTCAACAGGCCAAAGTTCCACCTCAAGATGCAAATGAGTATGCAGATGGTGAAAGTCAGCCTTCTATGCAAACGATCTCATATGGAGGTGAGAATTCTCCACCAGGGGAGAATTGATGCAATCAATGTGCTCTATCCCATCAGTTTCTGTTCATTGGCTGTTGGGTGGTCTCTTCGTGGGCTTTGTTTTCCACGGTTTTTCCCCTTGGCAACTGTCCTTTCGGTTTAGGCAGTTGTCCCTTCAGTTTCTGTGATCATTGGCTGTTGTATTGATGTTTCGTTTTCCCCTAGGCTACTATCCCTTCAGTCCCTATTTGTTGCAGCTTTTGAGGAGTTTCTAGTGTTTATTTGGGTGGTTCTTTAATTACCTTGCATTACATGTTTTTCCCCTTTTTTTCATCTATAAATGGGGTTGTTTGGTGCAGTTTTAGGTAGATATGTGATGATTTTTGAAATGTAAACCTGTGTGTTTGTTCTGGCCTGCGAGCTAGCCTCCTTTCCCCTTCCCCTCTACTATTTTGTCTCAGTCTTCTACCTCTTCTTCTTTATCCACGATTTCTGCCCCATATATATCTTTTTTCTTTAATTAATATAAGTTGTAAGGTATTGTATGCTAGTATTATGATATTATATATGTGTTTGTCTATGTTTATAGTAAGGAAGATTTTTTTTGTTTGCAATCCAAATCTTTTTTTTTTGTTGCACCATTAAGGGAACACAAAAAACCTTCAACCTAACGGGTAATCCTCCATTATCTGAATCATAATCTAAACAAATGCCATTTTATAAACAAATCATTCAAGTTCAACCGGTGATTGCTTTTGATTGATTGACATGAACGCAATCAAGCAACCACCATAGTGAAATGCCAGACAATAAGCAATTCTTGCCTGTGCCAGGAACTGTAACGAGAAGCCGCCATGTAAAACCAGAACTCAACCGAAAAAGGTAAAATTTTATCCTCGCCTACGGTTTGGTGTTAACCCACCTGAACACCAAAACGGGAGCATTTTAGGTCATTGTAAATTTTGTAAGATCAAGACCTAATTACCAAAATATTATGAATTTAAAATTTTAAAAATAGATTTTTTTTAAGATATGTAAAAAAAATTATTAGCATATTATTAGAAATATTTATATTTACTAGAATAACATTCAATTCTTCATAATTAGTGGCATTCCACATTAAAAAAATAGCTATTAGTGATATAGCTTCCTCTAACATCCTTTAACCATATTTTTGAAATTTAGTTTGAAATGGAATTAAATTTAATAGTGGAGTCAAACTTATTAAAAATGTCAGATTTTGTGCTCTCTATATTATCGGTAGATGTGTTTCTATTTAGTAATTATAAGCTATAAATTAGCATGATGAAATTAATCATATTTATTTTATAGATTTGCTTCTAATTTTAATTATTTTTTTAAAATATAAATATCCAACAACAACAACAACAAACCTTTATTCCACTACATGGGGTGCTGCATGAATCTTTTTTCTCCTTTGTGTCATGTTAAGAATCAAATTCTCATTTAAATCTAATAAAAAAATATCATTTCTAATATTTCTAACCAAGTCTTTTTAGTCTACCTCTACCTCTCTTAACATAAGCTTTTCAACTATTTTTGAATTAGGAAAAGTAATGCATATTTGAATGAGATTCCATAACTATAGATGAATCAGTTAAATATTTATTAAGTTGGCAAATAATGTAAAAAAAATAACAAATCTGATGCTTCTAGGCCTGCCACAAATGCCCTGCACTGAGAAGTCTCTCATCAAAATGAATGAACAAGAAGGAAAAGGAACAAAATAAAAGTCCTTCTACGCATCATGAAAAAAGCTCCAAGATAAAAATGTTAAGTTAACTCAACCAAAGAAAAAAAACTGAGGCATAGGAAAACTTACCAGGAATATTCTCGTCAAGTGCAGCACTCTTGCATAGATCAACAATAGTCTTTCTCCTGGCTACTAGGACAATAAGATCCAGAATATCGTCAATTTCAAACGAATCAATCAACCCAAACGTAGCAACGAGATGCAACACACCCAAAACCACAAGCGTTGTGTCCCCTTTCGCATCATTAAGCAGCTCTCTCCATTCTACCGCCACCCTCCTCGCCCTCTCTCTGGCTAACGGCTTAATCTCCACAGCCAGATCATGAAGGCACTCCAAAAGAGTCAGGCAAGTCCTCCTAATCGAAATTAGCTCTCCCTCCGCCATCTTCTCAAGCGGGAAAAAGCCGCCAATCGCATCGAGGACAAGCTCGGTGGGATCCGGCGCAAATAGAAGGGCAGGAGCAAGCTCCCTGCGGATCGCCACAATGTCTTTCCGGTTATCAATGATGAACGATTTCAGACCATTGCCGTCCATTTTTAAGCAGAGATCCCTGAGCTCCGAACGGGTTTGAACCATCGGCTTATCTTGCTTCACCCCAACGTTGGAAACCGGCGGAGTGGTTGTTGCCTTCTTCACCTTGGAAGAGCTATCCAAGTCCTTCAGTTCACGGAACCGCTCCTCGATGGACTTTTCGATGGACGATAAGTGGTCCTCGATCTCCTTCCACTGAAGAGTGAAAGAGGATAGAGAGGAGGAATAGGATTGGAGGGCATCGAAAGCCTTCCGCAGATCCTATAAATGAATGAAAAATTGTTTTATAATTCATTCACTTTAAATTTTTCATTTTCATATAAAACTAATCAAACCGACTAAATGTGGCATCAACTAAGTCTATAAAATATAAACAAATAAAATAATATAAATGTGGCGTCAATTAAGTCTATAAAATATAAAAATATTTCGCAAATAATTTAAGCAAGAGTTATAACTAGCCTAATAAATAGAGTGTAATTGTAATTCAAAAAACATCACCAAATGGAATTTTTATTGCCTCAGGTTACCTGACGCAACGATATGTTCGGTAAAGCTTAAAAATGCGACACCTGGCAGCCGCCTTTACCCGTAACCCGACCCGGCGAAAATTGGGTATATTGCACGTGCGAAATTTAAATTTGATGGCCCGAGTAGCGGACCCGAAAAATATCCCGCAGACCCGAAAATGACGTATAATTTTTCAAACAAAGATTACCGTCTTTCACTTCAGTCATCATTTTGTTGCATATACTTCATCTTCTTCCACCGGCGTTTCTTCTTCTTGTGATTCTTCTTCTTCTTTCAAGTTTCAAGGTCTTTGTATTTTCATCTTCTTCCAAGTTCCAAGCTCTCCCTATCCGTGTTTACAATGCCGCAGGTTAGTTCTTTTTTATATAAATAATGACTCCTCTTCTTCCTTTTAAATGTTTAGGGTTAGGGTTTACCAAGTTAAAGACCTATACTTGCTGGAATTTGAATAGTCGTGACGAAACAATTACTCGGTATAGATTAGTAATGCTCGGTATTACTCGGCACCGACCTGTTCCGGTAGTTATAAACACTCATTACCGAGCGGTATCGAGCATTACTAACAGTCATTACTGCTCGATATTGGCCATTAATGGTCGGTATAAGCTTAGGTAAAAACTCTTACTGCTCGGTACCGAGCAGTACCGAGTATTACTAACACTCGGTACAACTCGGTACTGGCCATTAATGTTCCGTATAAGCTTAGCTAACAGCTCCGTACTGCTCGGTACCGAGAGTACCGAGCTTTACTAACACTCGGTACTGCTCGGTATTTGCCAATAATGGTCGGTATAAGCTTAGCTAACTGCTCGGTACCGAGCAGTACCGAGCATTACTAACAGTCGTTACTACTTGGTACCGAGCAGTAGCGAGCATTACTAACACTCGGTAATGCTCGGTATTCGCAAGTATTGGTTGGTATAAGCTTAGGTAAATACAAAAAAAAAATTATTGATATATTACCTGGTTATATACACTCGGTATTGCTAGGAACCGAGTGATTTTGGCAGATTAACGATTGGTATTAGCACAGTCTAGCCTTGGTTAGTTGGTCGGTACTGCTCGGTAATACTCTAAATGAATTATCTTTAATACTCATTATTTGTTATGCAGGATATTCTCCAAAGATTGATTTTAGATGTCGAACTTCAACTTTTAGAGAAGTTTTTAATGTACTTGTTCGGAGATTTGGAGAACCCTTTGTTGAAAGACTGAGGCTGCTGCAAATTAGCCAATTCCTGAGGGTACCCCTAATGCTTCAGAATGTTCCTCTTATATACATGCTACTATCGAAGTGGGATATGAAGACTGAAAATTTCATTATTAAAGGATAAAGTCTACAGTTCACATCTGATGAAGTTGCATTACTTATAGACATGCCGAATAGGGGTATTATTTTTGACATTGGCAGTGCCAGATCCAGTGGCAAAACTTCAAATGACATTCGTCATGACATGAAGAGGATGGATAATACCACTCCAATGGAAGATCTAGTGAAAGGCTTCGTCTTTTACCTACTATCCAACATATTTTATCCAATGGCTAACTTCCGCATTCCATCATCTATATTGGAACTTGTCGAAAATGTAGATAGTTTTATAACGTACAACTGGCAAGAATCAATCAGGAGTTTCCTAGTAAATGAATTCAACAATGTTGCTACTAAACAAACTAACGGATCCGCACTGTATTATGTAAATGGTTTCATCATGATTCTAATTGTAAGTATTGTTATTTTATTCAAAGGATCATTCCTAATTTCCAATTTTGATAACAAAATTAAATTGTCTTAATTTTGGCAGATTTGGTTTCTTGAACATACAACCACTCATGCCGTGGAGGATGAACTATCCCGGCTACGTTTTACTCGTTGGGATGGTAATTTTATGTACAGTGAAAAAGATGTAAATAGTATATTTGCTGACCTTCAGGATCATGAGGTACCTTTCAATACATTTTTTCATTTAAATCTCTGAAAAAATGATATGTTTTAATGTTTAACTTAGATGAAAACTTGAAATAACAGATTCTCCCACATTTAAGAGGAATAACAGATGATGAGAAGGTTTTATTTCATGGACCTTCAAATATTTCATCTAAGTCGTCCAGTCCATCTCCACATAGTCCAGCTAGTCCAGTTAAGGTAGCAAGTCCACTTAGGGTACCAAGTCCTATCCGGGTGGTTAGTACAGCTCGTGTACCTCAACATGATTCATCTCAACCTACCCCAGCTAGTCCAATCAAGGTTGCAAGTCAAAGAAATACTGAATCATCTGCAAATACTCCTGATTTGAGGCCAATAACAGATGAAAGAAACCTCCATATATTAAATCAAGCTATATACAAACTGTTTAAGAAAGAAAAAATTTTTAAGAAGAATGTAGCTTCTGTGAAAGCAATAAATAAAAACTTGAAAATCATGTTTTGAACTTGGAGCACTCTATTTTGGAGTTGAAAGCAGAGAATTTTGATTTGAAAGAAGAGATCAAAAGAAAATATCGTGTTATGTTGCAGTTCTTCAAAGATCAATTTCCTTCTTATATTAAAACGTACAAGAATGAAATGTCTGGTGAATCTTCATCAACTACTGCTGAAAATGAGAAAATTGTTTATAAAGATGGCAGTCTGAGTGAAGATGTGGAATTCGATCCAGTTGCGGAGACCGACATAGCAAGAAGAGTTCAGCTAAGAAATGATAGAAAGAGGAAAGTTGTATCTACCCCATTCACAACCGGAGTTAGGAAGAAAAAAATTAAACAAGATTTATCATCCACAGAGAAGTTATGTGAGAAAATTACAAGTGATGTTCCAGTCCAATCCCCTGAACTTGGTCCTGCTCCTCCACCAGCACATCAAACTGCTTCTGTTACTGCTGCTGAACCACCTATTGCTACTGAAGTTTCTGGACTAGTTTCACCAGCTCCTACACATATTCCAGAGCCTGAACCTGCTCGTGTACCTGATCCTTCAGCTCCTATGGATGAATCAACTACGGTTCACGATAAATCTATAATTGTTTATGAAGTAGATGATACAAAAGAGATTGAATTATGTCCTGAACCTGAAGAATTAAATTACCCTGGTCGATCACTAATAACTGAAGACAAACTTATATACATTAATAATTGCTTGAAACAATTAAAGGATAAGTGAGTATTATGCTTATACCGACCAAAACATGTCAATACCGAGTTATATCAAATATTATGTTATTGAATGATCGGTTCTGATCTGTATTATGTCTAATCTACTCGGTATTATATCAATCATATGATTTATAGTAACTTTACTATTATTTCAGGCATTATACCGAGCAAGTATCGATCAATACCGAGCTTTAATGATCGGTTCTACTCGGTATTATGTCTAATCTACTCGGTATTATATCAATCATATGATTTAAAGCGAATTTACTATTATTTCAGACATTATACCGAGCAAGTACCGAGTAATACTGAGCTTTAATGAACGATTCTACTCGGTATTATGTCTAATATACTCGGTACTATATCAATCATATGATTTATAGTAAATTTACTAATATTTTACTGAATTATACCGAACAATACCGAGTAATACCGTAATTTAATATATTGTATTTTGTTTTTATTATTCCTTTTAATTTATGTATTTTGAATAATCCAGGAATGATACTATTTTCAAATTTAAAAATATAATAATTTTTAGAAGTCAATTGGACGAGTTATTGTTGTGCGAGGAGCTTGACAACAATCATTTGGATGCTTTTGCTCATTTACTTTTCTAGAAAAATGAACTTTGCCTTGGGCTTAATCAGCCATTTCTTTATGTTTCAAGTTTCCATTGGGTTAGTATGCAATATGTAATTAGTAGTTCTAAACATGTTTAGTATACAATTTTAATCAGCAGTAGTATTTTATCTACTCCAGTGTTACTACGTACAAAATAAAGAGACGATTACAACTAGCTTCGTATCTCATATTGACATAACCATTATTAGGAATGTAAATTTGTTCTTAGTTCCAATAATAAACGAAAAACATTGGACACTGCTTGTATGCAATTTGAAAAAGAAACGGTGGGAGTTCTATGATTCATTACCGAATAAAAAACACAAAGACGTACTCCAAGAAGTTGTAATAATACTCACCTTTAATTTTTATTTTAGTCGTAACAACATTGTCTGTTAATATATTATAAAATTTTCAGATTTCTCATTTCTATAACGATGCAAAGCATGCTTTCGACTACAATATCACTAAATGGCCGATCAAGGGATTTAGAAATGTCCCAACGCAAAGTAACAACGTGGACTGCAGCATGTTTATTTGTAAATATATGGAAGTTGTTATACAGCAGGAACATGTGCAATGGTATCTTTATAAAAACTAACAATCTAGAATGTCATTATTCAGGGCAGAACTAGCATATGCCCTGTTATGTACTAAAATTCATTAGATTACTCTATAAATGGTGCGTTAATTTGTATATTTATTGTGCATTATTAATTTAAATTAATAATTTGATTTTCTTAATGAAAATTGAAAGCATTATCAATTAATATTTGATGCGTACCGAGTACTAAATTGTACAAAAATCGAGCAAAAAGAAAATAGAGCTGTATTGCTCTGTATTAGTTGAAATATACTTGGTATCAAGTTATTTGATAGGTACTGCTCGGTATTAGTTGAAATATGCTCGGTACCAAGTTATTTGATAGGTACTGCTCGGTATTAGTTAAAATTTGCT